ACCAGCTAGATTAGAGGAGCTGTGAATATTAATTAAAGATTTGGGAATGGGCGTTGTGTATTCTAGAGGTGCTTCCGAAATGTGTAGTGATTTAATAAGAGGCTGCAGTTTGTTAATAATGAAAGATAGTTGGGGACAGAACACGTTTCCAATTCTAATTTCTTTACCTACAGGATGATTATTGTCGGAATACACTTTGAGGATGTATTTTTTCGTTAACCATGACCTGATGTGTAATGGCATCTCTCCGGCTGAGGCCTAAAGCACGTTTACTGGAGAAGTTTTAAAAGCACCCAAACATAACCTTATGGCACAGTTTTGTGTTGTATTCAACTTATTAATGAGGGGGGATTTAGTTTGATTGTATAAGACACAACAATAATCAAAGTTAGATCTTACTATTGTTTTGTAGATAGTGAGCATGTTTCGTGGGTGAGAACCCCACGATACTCCAGCTAAAGATTTTAGTATGTTTAAGTTTTGCAGCGACTGTGTGTGAATATTTTTTATATGCGTTTTGAAATTTAATTTAGTGTCTAATGTTACGCCTAAAAATTTTAAGTGTTCTTCGCTTTTAACTGTGTATTTTTCATTTGAAATCTCAAAATCTTTGAAGTTAATTGTTCTTTTTCTAGTAAAAGGAGTAATGCTGTATTTGTTAGGATTAATTTTTAGGCCTATTATTGAAAATGCTTGTGTTAGGTTGTCCAATGCTGAGCTGATTATGTCTTTCCCTTCTTCTGCAGATTTCGCTACAGTATAAATTAAAATGTCATCTGCAAATTGAATGATTTTACCTTTGTCAAGTGTATTGTTGGTGATGTGTTCCGTGTAAAGATTGAAGAGGGTTGGACTCAATGTATCTCCTTGAGGGAGACCACTGTAGGTTTCAAAAGATACTCGACCTTCCCAAGTATCCAGAAAATATGTTCGATGAGTTAAATAATTTATTATCCAGTGAGTTAGTTTTGTAGAGATGTGCAGATTTTTTAATTTAGATAAGGTTTGTATTTTTACATGGTCATATGCTTTATCAATATCAATGGTTAATGCCACAAGGATCTTTCTTTCTCTGAAAGCTTTGTAGATATCATTGATTAGAATCAAGATCGCATCAGTGGTTGACCTGTTTTTCCTAAAACCAAAACAGAGAGGACTCAAGATATTTGTTGATTCTATAAACCATTCTAATCTCGTTTTGACAATTTTGTTGAACACTTTTGCTAAGCATGAAATGAGAGCAATAGGGCGGTATGAAGTGATCTGAAGTACATCTTTACCAGGCTTTAATATTGGGAATATGAGTATATTTCGCCAGTCAGGAGGAACCTTGGCATCTTCCCAAATTTGATTATAAGCAGAAAGCAATCTCTGTTTCATCGAAGCCGGTAAGAGTTTGATCATTTGGTAATTGATTTCGTCCACACCGGGGGCGGATCCAAATTCCCCTTTCAATGCCGCTTCCAGCTCTGTTAATTGGAAGGGTGAATCTAAATGGTGGCCAGTATGTACATTTGAACTGCGAAACTCACATTTCACAACCCAGGCGAAACATTTCAAAAGTTTAAAAACCCATAATTCTGAAACTAATCGTTAGAATGGGCTAAATTTTGGTATTTTTGCTTACATATATATTTACTTAGTATTTACAGATTTTCTAAGATCTGATGGGGGTGGGTTACAGGCCCGTGATGATTAGGCATGGAATGACCCATAATTTTGTTTAAAATTATATAAAATATTTTTTTCTCAGCTCCTAGAGCCTATTGGAAAGAACTAAATGTGTCTAATATTTTCCGATGTAGTACCTCCCTAAAAAATTGGTTGAAATCGGTGACCTACAGACTGTATCCTTGTAAGTGCAGGAAGCGTCCTTCCTACCAGATGGACATCATCTGCATAGGCCAATACCTGCGTATATCTATTGTAGATTGGTCCTGCCACCAGTATTGGTTTTAATTCCTTGCACCACAGTTTCTATGGAAAAACTTTTTAAAAAAGTTGCTGCTCCGGGATCTTCTTGCCGAGGTCTATTATTAACAGGAAAACTCTGTCCAAGTGCATCCTGTGATTTTATCCAGCATTGAGGGCTTTTTATGGTCGTACAAAACAAACCATATACACTATCTTTCTGGGGACTCCAAATCTACATAAATCACACTGCCCAATCGACCCAACAGTCATAGTGTTGCTGCAACATTCAAAAATATTTTTAATTTTGATTTAAATGTTTTACATCACCCTTAATAACATTGTTATAAATTAGATTTATTTTAAGTTAAGCATAGTTATTATTAAGGAAGTTGTTATTGCTTTACGTACTTAATACACAAATATAAGCTTAAACTTAATACTTAAAGCAGGCGGGATTGACTCCAGCTCTTCCCACTCGAGCTGCTTAGTTTAGTCAGCACAAAGTCTATGTATACAGGTGCAGCACCCATCTCCATACTGAGGTCGGTTCAATATTTCATTTCAATATTCATTCAATATTTGATCAAGAGCTTTCAAAATTTATTGACATTTCTACATTTCAGCCAATTAAGCTGCAGAGGAATCATATTCAAAATCACAAAATTATGCTACAAGTCATACAAAATTTTTCTGTTTCATGCAAAAACATTCTTATTTCACATACATATTTATATATATTCTGAATGTACAAAAAGAAAAAGAAAAAAAAGTAAAATAACTCTTTAAATATTCAATAATATAAAGAATATATATATATATATATATATATATATATATATATATATATATATATATATATATATATATATATATATATATTCTTTATATTATTGAATATTTAAAGAGTTATTTTACTTTTTTTTCTTTTTCTTTTTGTACATTCAGAACTTATAATTTTGTTTTATTCATTGTTAAAAGTAAGCCTTTATGTTATTTCTTGATTTTTTTTTCTTGAACTTTTAAATAATTTTATCTTTATATAATATAACCAGCGCCATTTTATCTTTATATATTGTTTTGATTAATATAGAAGATTATTTTATTTTAATTTATTTATTTATTTTTATTTTTAAACATTTTGCAACACACAAATACAATGGTCATTAGCATACCTTAACACGAGGAAGGTTTCTATTAAAACTCTCAGTTCAGGTAACACAGAGGCTTGAAGAGCTGGTGCAGCTTGATGTGAAATAGTTCTCCAATTAAAAATATGGCTATAAATATGTCTTCTTATTATTTTTATAAATTAAAATATGCAATAGTAAATTTTTACAGGTGCATATAAAGTTCTAAAATCAACAATCATTATAATTGATTTTTTTCTGTGATTTGTTGAATGGCAAGTGTGATACCAGCACCATCGTAATTCCAGCCCCAAAAGCATATTTTAAAGTTGTTGCAGTTAAAAAGCTCATATTTCATTCTACATACCATAAATCAGTTCACTGCCTGTTGGTACAACTGTTCACAGCATATATCTTTTCGATGACCGACAGTCATGTAGCTCACACATGTGAGTCAACATGCTGTGTCATTCTCATTGTTTATATTTAACAAATTGAAATGTTTTTTAATACAGTCTGAATAGTAGTGCATGAAATAATGGAACAGGACCTTGATTCTTTTTTTTTTTTTTTCGGTTTCTAAAAACCAAGGTAATTATTTTACAGTAAGGTTTGGGCAGTCTCATTGTGACTTTAAGAGATGAAATTCTTGTGTCATCGCAAGATGTTCTAGAGTGAAAGTATTTGCCAGCTATGTCTTGATTGATCAAAGACGAAAGTTAAAATCAAAGGTGATCAGATATCGTCTGGTTGTGCCAAAGAATGGTTTTCATTTAAATTCTCCCACGTTACGGCGAGTGGTGGGGGCTCTTTTATCTTAAAGATAAAAGAGAACACTTAAGCCTTGAGAGGGACTGGTTGTATCTGCCCATTACATCGGCAGCCACTGGATAAACAACATCCCAAGCACAAGAAGTCACATACGGAGAGTTAAGAGTTAGTGCCTCTCCCTTCTGGAGAAACCTTTTATTGATACGTATATTTTCTGTTTAAATTTAATGAGGAATCATTTTATTTTAAGTTAATTGTAAATTATTAGCCTAATTTCTCTCTTTATTGTAAACCAAGCAATTTTCTTCTCGTTTGTACCTTACCCGATAATTTTTGTTTGGGAAATGAGATATTTCATGGTGAGGGATATGGTTTTGCCCAAGAATGGTTTTCATTTAAATTATCCCGCGTTACGGTGAGTGGTGAGCGCTAGGGCGGTATGAAGTGATCTGAAGTACATCTTTACCAGGCTTTAATATTGGGAATATGAGTATATTTCGCCAGTCAGGAGGAACCTTGGCATCTTCCCAGATTTGATTATAAGCAGAAAGCAATCTCTGTTTCATCGAAGCCGGTAAGAGTTTGATCATTTGGTAATTAATTTCGTCCACACCGGGGGCGGATCCAAATTCCCCTTTCAATGCCGCTTCCAGCTCTGTTAATTGGAAGGGTGAATCTAAATGGTGGCCAGTATGTACATTTGAACCGCGATAAAAGATAACAGTTAAGCCTTAAGAGGGACTGGTTGTATCTGCCCATTACATCGGCAGCCACTGGCCAAACAACATCTCCAGCACAAGAAGTCACGTACAGAGAGCTCTCCAAGTAAAAAAGATGTAGGCTGGCATATAGAAGATAAGCTATTTTTTTTTCACAATCATTAACCTACCAATTCCTTAAGATACAGTCCACTGCTTAAAAATTAGAATGTTGCCATAAAATTTAGAATGTTGCCTTATTGAAACTCATGAGAGTTATTTTGCCATAATTGGAAAAGTTGCCTTAACACCTCCTTAGTTCTAACTAATTATGAAGCCAGCCAGCGATTCAGTGGTGTTTCTCTGATGGCTTGTATACAGGTTTTCTTGTAGAATTCAAAGCTTTTGGATTCCAGGAGAAATATGATTGCAAAGCAGAATCTTCAAGGATTGACTGAAGGGCACCCTTGAGGTTAAGTGGAGCCTGTTTATTTGGCAAGAGAAATTTCACCAACCTTGGACATTGGAAGGATTGACAGAGCGATAGCTCTTTCTAGATTCAGTGAATAGTGGTGCATGGCATTCTTAATTGGTGGACTAATTTGTTTGGGTAATTCCAATAACGAACAAGACTTCAACTTATTAATTAGGTGCTTCCATTATGAATACCAACTATGGACAATTATTTTCCAGCTCTCCTACAGCCTTACCCATTATCCTTCTAGATAGGTTATATAATATTGAGAAAGCAAATTATAATGGCAATTAATAAATTTTGTTCCAGGTACAAATGACTGATGCTTTCCCTAAACAGATATGCAAACAGTGCTTCAATCAGTTAAATGACATTTTCGAAATGGCTGATATGTGTAGTATCTCACAGCAGAAGATGATAGCTCTAACTGATAATGAAATATTTAAGTAAGAAATTTTTAATTATCATCTAGATATAATCAATTTAAAGTCCTTTTCTTAGTAAAATATTATTTTATTATTGTTGGAATTGCTCAAATAAAATTATGAAGAGATAAAATATCAAATGACACAAGTTCTCTCGTTTTTATGTCAAACTTCTTTCCAAGTGAAATGAAATGAAAATATATTTTATTATTCTGGGACTGTTGTCCCTTTAGAAAAAATTATGAGTACAGAATACACGTATGTGTCGTCATAAATAAAGTAAATATTTACAATATTAGTTAATTAAAAGTAAAAATACAGAAGAAGAAAATATATATATATATATATAATCTCTCTTCTTCTGTATTTTTACTTTTGATTAACTAATATTGTAAATATTTGTATATACAAACAGAGAAAAATAAAATAACAGAAATATTTTCTGGGGGTACTTAGATAGCTCTTTTAGGTATATTTCGTAATCAGTCGGATAGAGAAAGGATTAGGTGTTTAAAGAGGAGAGGTTTGAAAGAGGAAACTGATTGTGCATGTCGAATATCAGCTGGGGTAGAATTCCAGAGGGAGGCGGTTTGAATTGCAAATGATTTGTCAAACACAGCAGTTCTGTGAGGAGGAGGATAGAGGTCAGAAGTACAAGATCTAGTGGGATAGGACTGGTTGGAGTATTTAAATTGTAATATGCGTATGCATATCTCTTGAGATCCCGAAAACAAAATGTAATGCTCAATTCATTAGGTGTTAAGTCTGGCCTCGAAATCTCCCGAGAGTCCACCGTACACCATATAGCCATAGTCGAAGTGTGGTAAAACAAGAAAGGAAACTAGGAGTTGACAGGGCTTAAATGGAAGGAGATAACTTAGGTTATTGAACTATTTTAGGGTGGAGATAGTGTGACGGGAAATTTGGGAGATGTGTGATTTCTAGGAGAGGGATTACAACATACTGGGAGCGACCGTAAGGAAGGATTGGAACCAATCAAGGGCACTAGAGGAAAAGAAGATATTTTTAAGTTTGGTTAGGAGGATGTTGTGGTCTACTGAATCAAAAGCTTTGGAGAAGTCAAGGAGAATAAGGATGGATAGTTTCTGCTGATCTATGGCTGTATGAAGGTCTTGGGAAATTTTGATTAGGGCAGACTGAGTAAAATAGCTAGGCCTGAAACCTCATTGGTAGGGGTTTAGGAGATTATTGTGCTCTAAAAAATGGGATAGCTGAGATTGGGCTAGTCGTTCTATAGGTTTGGAGCGGTTTGAAAGAAGGGAAATTGGACGGAAACCATTAAGAGCTGATGGGTTAGAGGTCTTCTTTAAGGGGCGTACTAGGGCGGTTTTCCAGGATGTAGGGAAGGTAGCATTTTGAAGAAAATATTTATAGATATGTTAAAGGATCAGAAGAATGGATGGCAGTACGGCTTTTATCATTCTGATTGGAATGTTATTGGAACCATCATCGTTAGTATGGGATTTCTGAATGGAGTTAAGGGGATCATCAAGGGTAATGTGGAGATAAAAGTGGTGTCTGTGTACATAGAAATGATAAATTACAATTGGTGCCCTCATGATATTTTATTACTATGCTTATTTGATTTTTATATTAAGACATATCTCTAAGAAAGAAGAACAGAGAAGTGTCAAAAGCCTTAGACAAAATTAGGATATCAGATATAGAATATGTGTTACTGGAAATTTGAGTAGGAGTTAGATGAAGGCTCGCTATGCTACACCTATATCATAAAATGAGAAATATAGTTAGAACGTTACACATTACTTTCAAAGAATTCGTGACCAATATTGGTATCAGGCAAGATTGTAGTTTAAGGCCACTTCTTTCCATTATTATGCTCGACTTCACACTTAATAGATCCTACATAAACCAGCTGTTTCGTATAGGCTTCAGAAGACTCCACCAAATGATATACACACCACTAGGATTTGTGAGCAGCCTGATTGTATTTGGTAAAAATTTTAGAAACCTCTGATGCATCTTCCTATCCCCCAAGAAGAGCTATGCAATATGGTTATCGTTTAGATAAAACCAAGTTTATGAGGATGGGAAAGAAAAACAACTGTGCGAACAGAATAGTAAAGCTTCATAAATGGCTATCTAATAGTTATAATCCTATCATTATTATAGGATTTCCTGTTTAATAATATAAAAGTAGATATTATTAATTACTTTCATTAAAAGTCATTAGTTTTTCACTCTTCATTTCCTTCTACGACTTTATAGGTTATATATTCATTTTTCAAACATCTCTTATTTCCAGAAATGGGTTTTCAACTGAAGAAAAAAGTTTCATTTTTATCTTAAGTTAATTATCAATTTTTTCACATTTATCTATTTTGTATTATTTATGAGGGATCTTTAATTATTTCTAATAATCGAAATTAAAGGTACTTTAAAGAGAACAAATGGAAGTTGGTTATTTGAGTCCTGTTAAACTATTTCTGTAAGGGTAATACCTTACTGATATTAAATATCGTTTGATTTTATATCAATATAACAAGTTTTGTCAAAATTGCTTTGGGCTATTTTTTAGAAAATCATAAAAATGTGTAAAACCGATGATATAAAGTACCACTTCTGACGAGTTATTTTTGGAAAAAAAATGCTGTATTATCCCAGGCTTATACCTAACTTAAATACCTAATTTCAGTATCTAATGTCCTTTTGTTTTTGAGCTATGCTGTTCACAAACACACAGACCATTTTGCGAGACTGGGTTCAGGTTTGGACAGATTTAGGGGACCTTAAAATATATATTTCCATTGAAAACTCAGGTTTGAAATTTTTCACAATTTCATTATGAGTGTTTTTTTCTAGCTTTTGTTTATTTGTAAAAGAAAATGTAGATATTTTAATGTTTTCTGTTTAATTTTTTTGGAAATGGAATATATATTTTTTAAGGCCAAATAGCCACTTTTTTCTTAGAAGAATTTCTAATAATATTTAAAGAAAAATTAAAATTTAATACTAAACTGTTAATAAAATTCTATAAGTGCAAAACCTACAGAATTTTCAACAAATATTATTAAGAGAGAAATTTAAAGACAGATATCTAAAGACACATCTTACTAAGAGCAAGCCCTCATACTGTGAACTGTGTGATGGTTTCCTGTATTCTGCTCTTACTATACTGCACATCTTACTCATGATATACATTTAAAAAAAAAAGGCTTAAATAACGATCATTAGAAATTATTTTTAATATAACACATTTTAAGTGAAAATAATTTAATAATTTAATATTGAAAAAAATGTGATCTTACATTACAAGGTTACAAGTATTTGAGTACAAAGCCTCATCCTAAGTTTATTTTTTAATGTACATACGTTGCCTAAACTTTATTTATTTATTTAGGCTTTAAGGCGTAAACCCCTAGGGTCATCAACGCCTGGTTGCTTAAACTGTTTTTACTTTTACTGGAAGATTATCAGGACTCAACTGTTATGACTTTATTTTAGAGATTGATGTCAGCAGTAATATTATCTATAATTATTTTTTTTTTTGTATTTTTTAGTGATGAAGAATTAATGACTGTTTTGGATGAAAATGGTGAAGAAGTTGTTTTAGGATCTTCAGTCAAAAACATTTTGAAGGGGTGTTGTCCTTTATGTAATGAAGGAACTTTGAAAAGCGGGGAACATGCTGCCAAAGATGATGATTTACTTTCTATACAAGGAATAGATTCAATAGTATTAGGTGGTCATGTAAATAGAAATAATTCTATTGATAAAGTTAGTGATGTCTTTTCGGAAAGTGAATTTACTTCAGAAAATGATACAGTTAAAAGAATGATAGAGATTAGGAATGATAAAAAAATGAGTGAGATTGCTTTTTCAAAAGTTAATTGTGACACTTCCGATTTAGATTCATTAGCTGAATCCTCACCATCTCAAGTTTTTAATAAAGAAGTAGATCCTCTTAAAATTGATGATAATTCATCTAAAAGTGAAAGTGATCAGATCATTGAATGTTATTCATCATTATCTTCTCCTTTAAATATACTAAGCACAGATGATTCTAATAGCAAGAACATGAATGAAGACCCCTTATCTGTATGTAATGAAGAACTACAAATTGAACCAGACCTTTATTATATGGACACTGAATCTGAATTAGCAAATATTAATACTCAAGATAGCAATGAAAAAATAAGTTGTAGCTCTAAGAATTCCTTTGTTTGTCGTCTGTGTGCTTCTGAGTTTGAAGAAAATATTGATCTTTTGCGACATGCATTTGTCCATTCTTGTTATGGATTTTACCAGTGTTCCAGTTGTGTTACATTCTTTACTACAAAAGATGAATTAGAAAATCATTTCAAATATCATGAATCAAAAGATAATACAATTTATTGTGATGTTTGTAATTTGGGTTTTCAAACAGCTTTAGACTTAGCAACACACACTTGTAAACAAGACAGTTTTCCTCCTAATAAATGTCCTGTGTGTTATAAATATTTTCGATCTGTATCAAAACTCAAACAACATATGAAATTTCATGAAACGGCTCGACCTTCTTATTGTAATATTTGTGACAAATTTTTTCCTGATGACATTAAGCTTCAAAAGCATTCCCTATATGTTCATAGTTCTAGGAAGGCCCACTGTTGTGAAGAATGTGGTAAAGTTTTCAAATCTGAAGCCTCTATGAAATATCACCAAAGAGCTCATCAGGCTGAGGAAAGGATTAAACCTTATACTTGTGAACGTTGTGGAAAATCATTTATGAGGAAAAGTATGTTAATCAATCATATGACATCTTCACACAATCATACCAACTTTGAAACACCCTGCTTTACTTGTAAGCTTTGCAATGAAGCATTCCCAAGTACAGTAGCTGCTGTTGCTCATATGGATAATCATCATAAATTAGAATGCATGGATGAAGCTACCTATAGCTTTGAAATGCATACTATAAACCGTTTATTTGTTTGTGAATTTTGTGAACGTTGTTATGCTGAAGGGTCTGTTTTAAACTCACATCGTGAAATGCATCCATCTGATTCACCGTATGAATGTAAACTATGTGATGCAGTTTTCCCATCTATTGAGGAAGTCAAAATTCATAGAAAAAATTATGCTAGTGAAAAAATACCTGCTGAATATATTGCTGATTTTACTATACCTAAAACATATTTGTGTGAATATTGTGAAAGATATTTTTTAAATTATGTCAAGTATACCGAACATTTAACTGTTCACTATGGCCCAGAACCTTATCAATGCCGTTCATGTCCATTAAAGTTCGGTACTTTGGTTGACGCTATGGAACATAGATCAATACATGGTGAATCACAGTTGCAAGTAGATGAGTACAATTTTTATCGTCCATATGAATGCCATTATTGTAGCAAAACATTTGCTATTGAAGATGCATTAATAAAACATATCAGAATGCATACTGGTGAAAAACCATTTATTTGTGATCAGTGTGGTAAAGGATTTTCACAAAGTTCTGGACTTTATACTCATCAAAAGGTGCATTCTTCCGAACGACCTTATTCTTGTACAGTATGCCCTAGAAAATTTAAAATAAAAGGTGATCGTGATGTACATGTTAGAAAACATTCTGGAGATCGTCCTTATAAGTGTGAATTTTGTGGTAAAGCATTTATGACTCAACATGTTTACAGTCAACACAGAAAAATCCATACAGGAGAACGACCATATAAGTGTGATGTTTGTGGAATAGCATTTAGAAGATCTCATGTGCTTACAGTTCACAAAAGAATTCATACGGGTGAAAAACCTAATATTTGTGACATTTGTGGCAAAAGATACCGTCAAAAAGGTGATATGTTAAAGCATCGAAGAGTTCAGCATGGAATATTGAGCACCAAACAAAATATCAATTCAATTGTGGACAGTTGATTCTCATTTTAACTGATAAATTATTCATCATACTTTTAATAAACCATGAGTTCAGCTTGGTATACTGATCACCATATGAAATAATAATTCAGTGGAGGATAGTAAATTCTCAGTTCAGCTGATAAATTATTCCTCATACTTCTATTGAACCATATGTTCAGAATGGTATACTAATCACTAAACAAATAATAATTCAGTTGAGGATCGTAGATTCTCTTTTCAGCTGATAAATTATTCATTATACTTCTATTGAACCATGAGTTTATCATGGTGTTCTGATAACCAATCAAATAATAATTCAGTTGAGGATTGTAGATTATCATTTCAACTGATACATTATTCATTATACTTCTATTGAACGATAAGTTCAGCATTGTATACTGATCACCAAAAATAATAATAAATAATTATAGCAACAATAATTCAGTTGAGGATAGTAGATTCTCATTTCAGCTGACACATTATTCATCATACTTTTAATAAAACATGGGTTCAGCAAGGTATACTGATCACCAAACAAAATAACAATTCAGTTGTGGATAGTCGATTTTCATTTCAGCTGATAAATTATTCATCATACTTCTATTGAACCATAAGTTCAGCATGGTATACTAATCACCAAACAAATAATAATTCAGTTGAGGATAGTAGATTCTCTTTTCAGCTGATAAATTATTCATCATACTTCTATTGAACCATAACTTCAGCATGGTATACTAATCACCAAACAAATATTAATTCAGTTGAGGATAGTAGATTCTCTTTTCAGCTGATAAATTATTCATCATACTTCTATTGAACCATGAGTTCAGCATTGTATGCTGATCACCAAACAAATAATAATTCAGTTGAGGATAGTAGATTATCATTTCAGCTGATACATTATTCATCATACTTTTAATAAATCATGGGTTCAGCATAGTATACTAATCACCAAACAAACAATAATTCAGTTGAGGATAATAGATTCTCTTTTCAGCTGATACATTATTCATCATACTTTTAATAAATAATGGGTTCAGCATGGTATACTAATCACCAAACAAATAATAATTCAGTTGAGGATAGTAGATTCTCTTTTTAGCTGATAAATTATTCATCATACTTCTATTGAACCATAAGTTCAGCATGGAATACTAATCACCAAACGGATAATAATTCAGTTGAGGATAGTAGATTCTCTTTTCAGCTGATACATTATTCATCATATTTTTAATAAATCATGGGTTCAGCATGGTATACTAATCACCAAACAAACAATAATTCATTTGAGGATAGTAGATTCTCATTTCAACTGAGAAATTATTCATTATACTTCTATTGAACCATGAGTTCAGCATTGTATACTGACCACCAAAAATAATAATAAATAATTATAGAATCAATAATTCAGTTGAGGACAGTTGATTCTCATTTTAACTGATAAATTATTCATCATACTTTTAATAAACCATGAGTTCAGCATGGTATACTGATCACCATATGAAATAATAATTCAGTGGAGGATAGTAAATTCTCAGTTCAGCTGATAAATTATTCATCATACTTCTATTAAACCATAAGTTCAGCACGGTATACTAATCACCAAACAAATAATAATTCAGTTGAGGATAGTAGATTCTCTTTTCAGATGATAAATTATTCATTGTACTTCTATTGAACCATGAGTTCAGCATTGTATGCTGATCACCAAACACAATAATAATTCAATTGTGACTGTTGATTCTCGTTTTATCTGTTAAATTATTCATAATACTTCTATAGAGCCATGAGTTCAGCATGATATAATGATCACCAAACAAAATAATAATTCAACTGATAAATTAGTCATTATGCTTTTACTGAACCACATGGTAACAACTGGGGTTCACATGATATAAATTAGCATTGAACAATATAATAATATAATTGTGGACTGTTGATTTTCATTTTAACTGATAAATTATTCACAATAATTTTTCTGAAACATGTATTCAGCACCAATAAAAATATTAATTTAATTGCTTACTGTTTATTTTCATAGTAGCTGATAAGTTATTCATCATGTTTGTTCTATTACTACCATAAAGAAATAGATGTGAGTACCTCTCCCCATCTCATTAGTTATCTAATATACAACTGTTAAATGATAAAGTAGCTGTTGTTCACAGGTTTCCAAAAATGATTAGGTTTTAGCTTTAGTTAGCATTACAAAAAATCTTTTACATTTATAAATTTTCCTATAACATATTTATATACAAAGTAATTAATTATTGGTATATTAATTTCTCATCTAAATGTGTCAGTATTCTCAGTTTTATATTTATGCTTTTAAACATTATTCACCCTTTTCAGTAATTCCACCCTTATACTATAATTATAGTTTCAGTGTCCAACATTTTTTTCTGAACCTAAAAATTTCCTGATTTGATATGAAAAACTGTATTTTTGTTCTTAAACCAGCAGTGATATTAAATGCTAATTTCCTTTAGTTTATTGTACATTTAAGTGTAATTCATGTTATTTTAAACATAAGATATTTTATATTTACTATAATTTTAAAAGTATTATTTTTAGGAAAAATGTAAATATGTATTTTGCATTCAACATATTGTATACAATAAATGTTTTATTGAAATTAGGCAAACATATTTTATCTTTCCATGTCTTTGTTGTTAAGGTTTTATATTTCTACTGGGAATCTGTTGAAGTGACATATCCCTGTCATGAACTTGTTAAATTTAATTAGGTTGTCGTATTAAATTATAAAGATAAATTATTATAACTACGCTGAACTTGGTTTCAATAAATTGAGTCAAACATTGTATTTATAAATAAATAGAATCAATCTTTTCTCTAAATATTTATTTAATAATTAATTTTCATTACCTTTAAAAGATGATTCTGAGAGAAAATTTTCATGAATTAGTATTTAACTGATTTATGGACTTAAAGAAACATAAAAATATTTTTGTTAATGTCACAAGTTACTTTATGTATTAGAATATTACTGCTTAACCTTTTACTAAAAATTTAGTTTTTTAACTTGAATTAATAGTTGAATTCAATGTTAACTTCTATTCACTAAATTTATTATTATTAATATATTTTTTCATGTGATATATATCAATCACAAGTATGAATCTAGTTACTCTCTTTAAAGTTGTGCTATTGAGTGATTTGAATTTTAAATGGTTTTAGTTGCAATGACAGAAATTATAAATTTTATCTCTTAACTGTCTTTCTAAATAGCACTAATTTTTTTATTTTATTTTTTCATATCATTGTTAATAAATATGTGTATATGAATTTTGTTTTTTATGACTAATTTTTAATTATTTTAAATATCTGCAATAAATCAAAATGAAGAAATAAATGAAACTATATATATATATATATATATATAGTTTTTCATATAATATAATTTCATATAATATATTTTTTCATGTGATATATATCAATCACAAGTATGAATCTAGTTACTCTCTTTAAAGTTGTGCTATTGAGTGATTTGAATTTTAAATGGTTTTAGTTGCAATGACAGAAATTATAAATTTTATCTCTTAACTGTCTTTCTAAATAGCACTAATTTTTTTATTTTATTTTTTCATATCATTGTTAATAAATATGTGTATATGAATTTTGTTTTTTATGACTAATTTTTAATTATTTTAAATATCTGCAATAAATCAAATTGAAGAAATAAATGAAACTATATATATATATATATATATATATATATATATATATATATATATATGTAGTATATTAATCTTTTGTTAGAGGTTGAATACTAAATCGAGGGTATATTGATTTAGTATTCAATCTCTTTGGAATGAGTCATATGTTTTGTCAGTGATTAAGAACACGAATGTAATGTAATTAGGAACAATAAATAGAAATTGTTTGTGTTTGATTTACAGTGAATTCATTGATACACTACATTGGCGATTGGGATTAATCCTGAAAGTAAATGGAAACTATTTACTATTGTGTCACCTCCTGATAAATCGTCAGTAAAGCCCAAAGAGACGATTATATTGCCGATCATAGGGGTACTCAGAGAATTTTCCATGAATATGGACTGGGCTGTCTATAAGCCACGGATGGAAAGCTTTTTCGATGCAAATAGTATCCGAAACAAAACACAAAGGCACGATTTATTTTTTAATTCGTTAGATGATGAAGCTTTTAAGCTTATAACGACATTAAGTGTTCCCAAGGAACCAAAAGGTTTAACCTGTTCAGAAATTTTAAAATTATTTGATGAATATTTTGTCCCGTCTGATTCACTTTTTGGAGCCCGTTACAGATTCTACAATGCAGCTATGGAAGATACTGAATCAATAAATGAATGGGTAGCTCGCATTCAGGACCTGGCTTCCCATTGTGCTTTCAACAACTATCTTGATTTTATTATGTTGGATAAATTTGTTATAGGTATGAATAAAGGACCGATAAGGGATCGGCTGTTCGAAGAAAATCCTGCGAATATTTCACTGCGTAGGGCTATAGAAATAGCTAATGCAAAAGAGGCTACATTAAGGCAGTACAATTTAGGTATTGCGGTTAAAAAGGAACCTGTGCACTTTGTTAGCAGAAAAAAAGATAGACCATCAGTCTCTAGGGGGCAAACTAATAAAAGATATTCAAACAAATGTAGCATTTGTGGTAAAGTGGGTCATGAGCCTGGCAAATGACGTTTTAGGGAATATGCCTGATATAATTGTCAGAAAATAGGGCATCTAGCTCTTGTGTGTAAGTTGGATAGAAGCCATCCGATCAACCGAGGGTTGAAAGAAAGATTACACTATATATTCAATCATTTCTTATCCATCCAGTCCCCATAAAATTGTAGATAGATACCTCTGTAAATATGTATATAAATTATTATATTGTTCTTCATTATTTTTACTTTATTTTCAATTTGTTATTATTAACTTATTTAAGTTAGAAAGTAACTTATATTTTTTTAATATGACTATTTCATTACTCAACATTTCTTTTTATGTATCTCTGAG